GATCATGTGAGTGGCCCTCCTCTGGACCCTCTCCATGTTGTCCACATCCCTCCTGAAGTGCGGCGCCCAGAACTGGACTCAGTACTCCAACTGTGGCCTGACCAGTGCTGCATAGAGGGGGAGGATCACCTCCTTGGACCTGCTCGAGATGCATCTGTGGATGCATGACAAGGTGTGGTTGGCCTTCCTGACTGTGTCCCCACACTGTCGGCCCATGTTCATTTTGGCATCAGTAATGATTCTAAGATCATTTTCTGCCTCTGCACTGACAAGAAGGGAGTTCCCCAGCCTGTAGGTATGCTGCTGGTTCTTCCTCCCCAGGTGCAGCACCTTGCACTTGTCAGTGTTGAAACCCATCCTGTTCTCATCTGCCCACCCCTGTAACCTGTCTAGGTCCAATTGCAGCCTATTCCTCCCCTCTAGCATGCCCACATCCCCCCACATCTTAGTGTCATCTGCAAATTTGAACACGGTGCTTTTTACCCCCTCGTCCAAGTCACTGATGAAGATGTTGAACAGTGTGGTCCTGAGGACCAGGCCCTGGGGGACCCCACTGCCCACATCCCTCCAGGTCAAAAATGACCCATCCACCACCACTCTCTGGGTGCAGCCCTCCAGCCAGTTAGTGATGCATTTGACTGTGTAGGTGTCGATGCCACAGTCCTCTAGTTTTTTAATGAGAATGGGGTGAGAGACAGTGTCGAAGGCCTTCCTGAAGTCCAGGAAGACTACGTCCACTGCTACCCCTGCATCTAAGGATTTTGTGACCTGGTCATAGAAGGCCACCAGGTTGGTCTGACAGGACCTGCCTCTAATGAACCCGTGTTGGTTGCCCCTAAGCATAACCTCCCCCGCTGGCCCCTCATGGACATGCGCCAGGATAATTCTCTCAAAAAGTTTACCCAGGACCGAGGTAAGACTGACTGGCCTATAGTTTCCTGGGTCCTCCTTCCTCCCTTTTTTGAAAATGGGAACCACATTGGCCCTTTTCCAGTCCTCTGGCACCACACCGGAGCATGAGTGCTCATAAAGCTGTGCCAGGGGTCCCGTAATGACCTGACTAGGTCCCACAATGACCTTACTAGATCCTCACTGACCCAGGTGTTTAAAAGGAGATTGGACAGACACCTGGATGGGGTCATCTGACCCCAGCACTCATTCCTGCCCAGGACAGAGGGTCAGACTTGATGATCTAATAGGACCCTTCCGACCCTAACATCTATAAAACTATGAAACTATGAGGTTCAGGGCAACCTAGTTTGGCTCCACCTTGTGGAGGATGGGACCACACTAATCATATGCAGTAGGCTGAGTGAGGGGGCAACAGAGGGATTCTGGGTGAACTGTTTGGGGCCCCATTTGATGATGTTTGCCAGACAAGGTTCTTTGGATAAATGTGATATCTTTTAATAGACCAACTAAATAAACGCAATAATGTTTGCCAGACATTTGAGACTGGAGAAGAAACAGGAATCACTGGAAAATGGGAAGGAAAGGCACAGCTCAGCTGTGGTAGTAAAGAGGAAGTTGAAATGTATTCAATGTAGTGGCTCACCATGACTGAAAAGTGTTAGCGCTGAGGTGGGGACTGAGCACAGTGGGTACTACTATATATCTTATTCAGGTAGGCTGTACTAATTTGGGGGCAACTGCTTTTGCGCTTTCCCCCTAGCTGCTCCTTGGCCTTTTGGCTAGGAGCAAGCAAAACTAGGGGGCATCTGAACTCCAAGGATGCTAGGCCTGGGGCTTGCACACCCCCAGAAAAAAAGCTTCTCATCAGCATGCTTGCCTAATATGGGCTGTGTGTTTTATTGTCATACTTAGTGTCAGTTGCATATAATCAACTTCAAAGTTGGTTTTCATTACTAAGCACATGCTGCTTTTGGCAGCAGCGTAGTGATAGACTGTATCTAATGAGGTTTCTTTGTATGTAAATATAAGATGAGGGGCTTGTCAACTTCTATACATAAAAAGTCCATACATAAATGCTTGTAAAACACACCGGGCATGTCTATACAAGATGCTTCAAGCACAGGACACTAATTCTACTGAGCATTAACATGGTGAGTGAAGCCCATGCTAATGCGTTAATATGCAGTAGATTGTCTAACGTGCATTAACATCACTAAAAAAAGGTTCACCTGTGCTAATGCACAGTAGTGCTGATTACAGTGCATTAAGTTAGTACCTGTCATTAGCGGTACTAAACTTAATGTGCCATAATTGTGGCACATTAATGAACATGTAAGCATGCCCACTGAAATCTGTGGTTAGGAGAGTAAGATAGCTTTCTGCAACTAGTCCAGATACAGTGCTTTAGGCAAATCTGCAACTGAATTCTAGGTCAGCTTTATGGAAGATTTTCCTAATTTACAATGTATTTTCCAAACTTCAGGATCCATTCTGAAAAAGAATATCCACAGACTTTATGAATCTATTGATATCTTAAGTACTGAAGAACTACTTCTAGTCCTGTACATTGTATCGGTTCCCAGTCTGGCAACCTTTTCATTTTTCTCCTTCCCTTGGTTATCTTTTAACAACTCCTTTCTAATCTCTTGGTCTGGCATTCCATGTCTTAGCTAAGAGATCAAATTTGCCTTCTGTGCACATGTTAACTTAATGAAGTCATTGTTGTCTAGAGAACTGTGCACAGGGTAAGAAGGTAGAGATCCAGAGTTCTAAGTCTGCCTCCATGATGGAACTATTGTGTGACTTTGGGTTAATTGCTTTACTTTCTCCCTGCCACAGCTGACAGATAATAAGTTAGTAATACCAGAAACAATAATAATAGATAATAACAGATAACAAGCTGGTAATACCCTCTCCCCATCTCATAACGGCAACACATCTACAATGTGCTCTAACAGTATAACAACTGAGTGTTATCAACAGAGAGAATCTTTCTGTTATCTATACCTTTATCTGCTGTGTGTCTGTTCTTGTCTGACACAATATACTCTCAAACATTTATCTTGATCTCTGCTCTGTTCTTTGACCTGTGCCATTGTGTTACTCTTTTTTATCCTTTCTTTGAATAATTTTGTTGATTATTTTTTGCTGTTATTGAACTAATAAAATGGTGGTGCATTCATCAAATTGTATTACCA